CTTAAAAAAAAAAAAAAAACCCACACAAACACAATGAGAGTCTGGTTGGGAAGTCTTGGTAGACACATAAAACTGTTAAAAAAGAAAATTCTGTTATCTGCAATAATAGGTTGTAGTGGCATATTAGTGCAGAAGAAAGAATATTGCTGAATTGGAAGACACTGCAACAGAAAGTATATCACAGGCCAGGTGTGGTGGCACACGCCAGTAATCCCAGCATGCAGAAGGCTGAGGCAGGAGGATCTCTGTGAGTTCGAGACCAGCCTGGGCTACATAGTGAGTTCCAGGTGAGTCTCAACTACATAGAGACCTTGCCTCAAAAAAATAAAAAAAAACAAAAAACAAAAAGTATATCACAGAGCAAAACCAAAGCACAGAAAAAAGAAAAAAAAATTACCATTTCTAGACCAATATGGCTGTCCATTTCTGCATAATGCCCACTCAACACAGTAAATTGGGATGACTTTTTCCAAAATTGGCAGCACTGTTAAAGTTTCCCAAAATTCAATTTATATATATATGTATATATATATATATACATATATATATAAATTGAATTTTGGGAAACTTTAACAGTGCTGCCAATTTTGGAAAAAGTCATCCCAATTTACTGTGTTGAGTGGGCATTATGCAGAAATGGACAGCCATATTGGTACACCATTTTTTTGTTAGCCTCTTAATCATCATCTGGAAAGAGAACATTCTAGAGTAATATCATTAAATGTAGCTCTGATAAAGCACAGTCCCTACTATGTATCATAAAGCAGGTATAAGATATTTTACATTCATAGAGGTATGATACAGTACCGTCCTACATCAATAATATTAGAATCAGTTTTAGTTTGAAATTTACTTTGTCTGCAAATAAGCTTGCTGCCCGTTTTTTTTCTGGGCTCCTGTCCCATGGAGAATTGTTTTCTATCTTTTCACTTTCAGTCTATGGGCTTCTTTTTGCACTAGGTGTGTTTCTTTTATACAACATATTGTTGGATTTTGCTTCTTGTTCCATTTTGCCAGTCTATTTCTCTTGATTGGTGAGTTGAGGCCATTGACATTGGTGGTTATAACTGATATGTACTGACTTATTATTGACATGTTATTGGCCTTTTGCTGACTCTTTTTACTTTTTCACCTTCTTTTAATTTCTTGCCACATCGTACTAAATATGTAAGATCATATCTACGTGGGTTTGATTACAGAAACTAATAAAGTATTCTCTAAATAATGAAAAAAAAAGAATTAGATAAGAGCAAGAAGCAATTTAAATATGTTCAGGGACCATTTTCATCTCCAGAATTAAGGATTATTTTAATGTTACATCACTGCCTTTTCTCTTTTTACTTTCCTTTTTAGTTTTATTTTAGGATTCCCTATTTTTAATGTTCATACAGAGATTTCTTTAACTAAAATACTGAATAGTTTCTTTGGTGTGAAAAACTATAATAGTACACAGGATCCTAATGAGATAATTAATAATGTGAAATAGGAAGTAAAGGGCTAAAGGTGTAGGGAAAGTGGGGAGGGTGGGGGAAAGGTAATCAGGGAGAGGAAAAAAAATATGAGAAACTGAAAAAATGGAAATAAAGTGTTTGTAAATGGGGAGGGGAGGAGGGGGTGAAGGGAGGACAGGGACAAGGGGAGAAAATGAGAATCAAGACCTATTATGTAAAGGTACAGAATCCCAACGGTGAATGTAACCGTATTGCATACCTAGATTGTACCAATAAACTCAATAAAAAGGAAAAAAAAAAAAAGAACAAATAAATAGAGCTTAAAGGACCTAGTAGGCAAAATAAGAAACATAAAGTACTTAAAAGTAGATTACCAAAAAAGGAGAAAAAGAAGAAGGGGTGTAGTTCAATGGTAGAGTGCTTGAGTAATAGTGTGAAGCGCTGGGTTTAATCTGCAGCAGGGAACACAAGAGAAGGGGCGGGGCGGGGCAGAGAAGAGAAGGAGATCTGAATAACGGCCAAATTTCACCCAATGTGATGAAAAAAATGTTTTTTGGTTTTCATGACAGTGGCACCTTTATTTTAAAATTTAGACACTTTACAAAAAGCTGAGGATGGTGTTATAATTCATTCTCAGTAAGTGGCCTACCTGTCCCAAATGTCTTTGTTTGCAGGATTGCTAAGAGAAATAAACTATTCTCATTGGACCCTGCATTTTTTTAAGCTTTTGGAATTGAAAGAAACAGAAGTACAGACTCTTTAAAGGAAGAGGGTCTGCTGTAAAGTTACACTGACACTAAAGCTGAGACAGGATCTCAGTGCAGAAGTCAGCAGGGACGGAGACAACTCTGGGAAGGGGCCACCCTTTCGGTCTGTCTGGTTGTTGGCACAGTCTCTTTCTCTCACTTAGCAACTTCTCCTCTTTACGTGGCTATTCTGCTCTCCTTTGATCCATGGCTTTATTTCTTCCTGTCTCGCCATGTCCAAAATATCTTCAGTCTTCCCCACAGAGGCACACTTCCCTCTCCTCCACAGTGCTCCTTCCCTGGGAGGATCATAGTATAACAAAACTCAGCCCGACAAGAGTTAGGATTCTGTTAGGCAGTGAGGACAGCGGCCTCCAAATAGTTGGGGAAGCCCAAAATGAAGTCTGCTGAGTCACGACCTTCCGGTGACCTTATAAAAACAACTGCCAGGTGTCCTTTGTTGTCTGGGACCTCCCCAGAGCATGATGAGGCAGACTATCAGTTCAAGGGTGCATGGGCCCTGTGTGGACATGGCTGAACACCGCACAGACTGGATCCTAAAAAATACATAGTCTCCTATAGGGTAGAAATTATATTGCTTACACAACAGCCTGAGCTTCTCTCTAAACCCCTTAAAAACCTGTAGTCAAAGAGCCCTTGCGGTCACCTACTCAGAACTCCCTCCCAGCTAGCATGAGCCTTGCTTCCTTACCTTTATAACTTTTAATTCCTTGCCTTTATATCCTTTGCATACATTTGCTGGCACCCTGCTTCTTCTGTCCACGGTTTCATTCTTTTCACTGTGGAGCACAACCCCAGTGTTCCAGTAACAGTATCAACAGAATGAGGTCAGCATATTTATTCTTCTCTCCCAAGGAGGTCATTTTAAGTTGCTGCTTCCCTCAAAAAACTTCTGTGCCTCTCAAGCTGGCTCCCTATATACCTCTGCTAACCTTATGTCTCCTCTATACTTGCCCTCTCATTTGTAATTAGTTCCTCTATAGATACATCCTCTATTCTAATTTCCATATGTTATTTGTTTTTCCTGTGACACTGAGTTCTATGATGAGCCTCAATTTAATAAGCCCTTTAACTTGAAAAAAATCATAAGTCAAAAATGAGAGTAAGCCAGGCATGGT